AAAAAATCGTGATTCTCATTTTATGCAAAATCGTGCAGCCCTACTTAGTACCCAATCTCAGATACCCGACCTGGCGTCCGGGCTCCCCCTTGCCGTAGCATTTGTGTTGCACCTCGTCAATCCCTAGCTGTCAGAGCTATTCCTTCTTCCGAATTTTGGAACACTGAGCTACTAGTTGTTTCGCCATCAGTCTGGATGCTGGGTATCGATGTGTGAGTGTGTTTGTTATTTGCCTGTCATTCTATGGTAATGTAAGTTTGTAAGCATAGAGTTCAGAAGGACTGCATACCCTGTGGCGCAGTAAGAGGTCGTCCCTGTTCTTCACACCAGCCCACCGGATGGATGTATGGACTGCTACTGTCACACCTGGTGGATCAGTACAACCATCAATCCATATACCCGGTTTAAAACACGTTAAATAATAAATATCAAGTGACATGAAACAGCTCCAACACTACAACCTAAAAATACCGAAAACAGAAAAAGTCTGTCGTCCTTCTGTCTCACCAGTAATCATATGTGTCATCCCAGTTGTCAAAGTGAACAAGGAAGCAGTCATCGATGACATCAGCAACAGAGGCGACGCAGACAAGTCCAGGATTCTTTCTGTCGACTGCCTCCAATTTCATCCCCACCCTGAACCCACATCCCTAAAAGACAAGCAGGGGATCGACAGATACTTAGTCAGACTGACAAGAGCATCTTGACTGCAGTGCAACAGGTGAACAGAAAGGTTCGACAGACTGTATACTGACTCCAGTGCAACATGTGAACAGGGCTGCTGGTGCAGACTGAGAGTCTGTGGACTGAAGGTACTGCTGCCAGTCAAACTCTGTCTCACTGTGACCTGCAGACAAACAGACAGGTGTGGTAACCCATGCCATGTAGTTACCTGTGAAGGGACTGGTCCACTTGGTTTTTACCTTTAGGTGGATGAAGCTTGTGGTTGTGCTCTTTACACCAGCCTGCCGGTCTAATATTGGGTGAATCTGCATTTACCCAGAAGTCATAACACTCCGAGTACCCATCGATATGAAGGCGTAGCCGACAGCCAATCGCCTGATAGAGACAGGAGGGCAATGAGACTAGATCCAAACAGGAATGCGTATGTGGATGTGAGTGACAATTTTACCTCTGCAATGGTCACCACACAAAACATGGAGGGGTGCATTGGGTCAATGCCTTCCAACTTCATCCCAACTTTAAAACCAGTTTTTCTACTAGGAAAGGTCTGAGACTGAGAGTCAGGTGAAAGAGACAGAAACAGGTCAGAGAGAGTCAGGCAGAGAGCAGACAGATGTTTTCTTTTTTTACTTTTAAATACTTTAAAGATATTTAAAGTATTTGCACAACAATTCACACAGCATGACAAACTTGCTAACCATTATTTAAAGATAACAATTGTTCTTTAACATTTTGTGTTGTTCCAGCAGTTACAGTGATACAGATTGCAGTGCAGGAAATGCATCTTCTAGTTTTTATTTTCCCTATTTTTGGAACCCTATCTATACCTGAAAGACTAATACCCAAATCTATTATTTATAATTCTAATTTTAGATTTATATGTTAAAGGGGAAAATGTTTATGTGAGTGCAGTGAGACTGTGGATTTGAACAAATCAAACACCTTGGAACTGTTAAGTCTATAAAAAAGGCTAAAAGGTTGAGTGTGTTTTTGTAGCTAGAGGGTGGTGGGGCATTCGGTGGATCTTTGAGCCAAAGACAAAAAAGGTTGTCACTTAAAGCAGCAGTCCCCAACCCCCGGGCCTCGGACCGGTACTGGTCCGTGAGTCGTTTGGTACCGGGCCGCAAGAGTTGAGGCTCAGGTGTGAAATGTATAGTTTTCAGGGTTTTTATTGGTTTTCAGCGTTATTTTGTTATCGTTTTTATCGATAGAACTCTGTTTTCCTGGGTCTTTTCACGTGTGTTATGAATAAATCTTCTTTTTTTCGGTACCGGTACTAGTTTTATTTTGTTGTATTTATCCGCGACACCTTAAAGGCCGGTCCGTGAAAATATTGTCGGGCATAAACCGGTCTGTGGCGCAAAAAAGGTTAGAGACCACTGACTTAAAGTATTGGCTGGGGATTGGCAGCACAGTGGTGCAGTGGTTAACAGTGTTGCCTCACAGCAAGAAGGTCTTCAGTTCACCTCCATCACCTGGGCTGGGCCATGTGCAACCAATTTGGTCGCACATGCGACCTAATCTCTCAATCGTCACACTAGTGTGACCAGCCATTCGAAAAAAAAATGTGTGTCTCTGTGTGGTCAACAACAGACACACATTATGCTGATATCGTGGTCTAAACCAATCAGAGATAGTCAAGGGCAGGACTCTGATTGGCCGTGGTCCAAATATTCCTGTAGGCCTACACGTGTGTGCGTTTGAAAGTGTAGGCAGATAGAGAGAGTCGAGCAGCCTAGGCCCAATAGAAGTGGATGTAGCTGTGGGTAATAAGAAAAGATAAAAAGAACAATTGATAACGTTTTCGTTAAGTTAAACCCTGATCCGTTCGAAATTCATAGCCAGTGCTCTGACACGGAGCCATCACCCTCTCAGGTTATGTCTAGCACTGGTCCGGAGACGGCATCAGATAACGAGCCACATACGATCGACTCCGAAGAGAGCCAGTTTCCCTGGCTGAGATACAGTAAAGCTGACAACATGATGCACTGCATTTACTGTGCTGATTGTGGAAAGACCATGGCCGCCAATACTGCATTTGTGACTGGTGCTAATACGTTTCAAATTGAAATGCTGAAAAAGCACAGTGTATCCAGACAACACATTATACGCCGCGATAAATGCACTGCAGGCAGCAGGAAACAGGTCGTCAGAGGAGACCGACATAATGATTAAGTTTAACATTGCCCACGATACTCCCAAAGAAGAACTTCCGTTCACTAAGTTCAAGTCTGAAATACGTTCAAGCCGTTTTTCTTCACAAGAAAAACGGCTTGAACGTAAACCCCACGTACAGAAATGATGTGGTGTATGACCAGTTTATAGATAAGATATCAAGCTGTTCAGATATTCAGAGGTTAGGTTTGAAGACTGAGACACTTTGAGGCACTTCTAATTTAGATTTTCTTTTAACATATTTTGAGATGTTATACGTTTAAATTTCAGCTCAGTGAAGCACTTTAAGCACAAGCACTTTTTCAGTAACTTGTCTCTCTTGTAGAACTGAGCTCCAAATAAAGAACTTTGTGCTGACAAGATTGTTAGTAAATCCTTTACACATCGATATCGTCTGTATGGACAGCAATGTTAAAAAAAAAAGTGAACATGTAAAACTGTGGTGTTAAGCAATGCAGTTGAAAAATTTGGGTGCTCCTAAGAAAAAACGTTAGGCGCGCAACAGTGTGTTGCACTGGTGCACAGCCTCTCTCTGTGTTAGCCCTGCGACAGACCTGCGATCTGTCCAGGGTAGGGCTGCTCGATTATGGCAAAAATGATAATCACGATTATTTTCACTGAAATTGAGATCTCGATTATTTGACGATATTTATTTAACAATAACAATGTGTTGAATAATGACTTTAAAGATTGTCAAAAAATAATATAAAATAGTGTGCAAATACTGATAACTGTGCAAATGTTTGTAATATAAGAAATAAATGAAAAATGTAAACATCTATGTTTAGTGAACTTTGCAGTGTTGCTCTGTGGTGCA